CATCACTCGGAGACTACTTCGAAAAACATAAGGACTACCATCGTTCCAAAAAGATAAAAGGCAAAGTAAATAACAAGATTGAAAAGGAGCATAGATGGCAAAGGGCAATGTTTCATAAAAAAGCTCGCTACCGGGAGCAATTACATAAGAGGGGAAAACAAAACAAAGCCTAGCCTATTCCCGGAGTCAATCAGAGCCATCCTCGAATTCTTCTGGGAACGTCGCCCTTCTCGAAGCGTCCTCAGCTCGGCGGCTTTTGTGACGTCCGATGCAAGATCGAAACCGCGACGTTGGAGTTCGGTAAGAACTTCAAGCGGAACGTCCCCTTCTCGAAGCGTCCTCAGCTTCGGCGGCTTTGGTGACGTCCGATGCAAGAATCGAAACCGCGACGTTGGAGTTCGGTAAAGAACTTCAAGCCGGCCTGACACTTTCGCATATTTCGGCTAACATCTTTGACTGCTGGTTGGCCGCATCAGCATCGCCCTATAATTGGGCCACCAGATCGTTGGAGTCTCCTGTCCGGCCTTGGAAACTTTAGCCTCAGCTTCCTGAAATCGATTGGTCCATAGTGCAATTCAAGGACTCGAGCCTCATTGGCCAACGTCAAGTCCAGCAACCCTCTTCCGAAGGGAAGTCTTCTCCGGACTCAAACTGTTGCACCCGGGCTTCCAGTTCGGCTTTGTTCTCATCAAAGTTCGGCTCCTGCTCTCAGTCAAGCTCGGCCTTAACCGATAAGCTCGGCTTGCACCCCCCTTAGCTTATAACCAAGCTCTTCTCTTCGCTTCCTCCAGCCGGATAGCACAGGACGCGTGCTCTTTGTTCAAAAGGTCCAATCCGGTCCGGCTTTTCTAGCAGCTTTTTCAAGGACCCGGCGCCCTCTCGCTCCGTCCCATTTTGTCCTTGATCCGGAGGAACATCGAGTATATAGCACCGATGCCTTGCAAAGAAAAAGTCTAAAGAGTCAGTAACTGAATCACAAGGCAAAAATATAGAAATAAGGAAGAAGCAAGTACCTTGAGCTGCGCCTGTTGGGCTTCGTTGAAAAGGCATGTCCAATCTAAGCCTCGGTTGCAGCCGTCTTCCTCCGTCATCAGGTGATGAAGATAGCTTTGCAACCCCGACCGGGGGGCCCCAGAGCCCGGACGTCTTTGGGGATAGCAAAAGTTACTATCTGTTACAGTCCGGTCCAGGCTCGGAGCTGGAAACCTATCGACAAGCTTGTTGACGGCCGAAGTCCCACTTGATTCGGCCTGAGGGTCTTTTCGGGGGGTTTCCGACCCGAAAGTGTTGGCGGAGGGTACCCCATCAAAAAAGGTTCTGAAACTACCTCCCATCATCGGGATGTCGTCCGGCAGTGCCCCCAAGTCGAGGAAGACGGGGGGACGTAACCGGGTGATCGGTACCCGGGACGCCCGCGCAGGGCCGAGGGTTTCACTAGCATCCTCAACCCTACAGTCCTCGGGAGGACCTCAGCTGGATCGACCACCGGCTCGGCGGTCCGGTCGAATGGATCGATGGCGGACGAGCTCCGGCTGCTCCTCATCGTCATCCTCTTTGTCGTCCTCCTCCTCGGAGGACAAGACGATTTGGCTTTTTAGTTTGCGGCGCGCCCTTTTTTGTCCGCTTAATCTTCCTTTGGTGCTCGTCCGTACCGGACTCCCCGGGCCTTTTATTTTCTCCCGAACCGGAAGGGGGCATAGTATTGAAGACTTCATCTCCGCGTCCTTTGGGCAAGCCTGCAAAACACGAGGGTTATGATGCATTCCGATATACAAGAAAAAATGCGTTAACTTGGTGCGCTACCGTCAAAAAGAAGGCTTACCATGGTTTTTCGCCTCCCACCGACCTTTGGAGATTTCCTTCCAGTTTCGCTCCGAATAATGGCCGCTGGGCCACTATCTGTTTACCCAGCCGGCCAGATCCTTGATGGCAGCTGGAGTTTGGGTCACCGCTGCAAAACAAGAAAGGGTTTCAGGAAGAAGTTGAGGAAACACACTCTAAAAGATGAACAGTGAGAAAATACTTACGTTTGAGGTTCCACCTCTCCGGAAATGGCATGCAATCAGCCGGAATCAGGTCGGACGTCCTGATCCGGACAAACCTGCTCATCAGCCTCGATTTTTGTCTTCATCGATGCTGAGAAATGGGGGTTTGCTAGCCGGCGGGCCAGTGTTTATTAATCCCTCGAAATATTCGAGGGCTGTATAATCGAAGAAGATGGTCGAGGGTAAAGGGAAAATCGCCCTCGCTCTCTCGACAAAAAAACGAAAGAGATATACGATCCGCCACATCGAGGGGTGGACCTGACCTAAGGTACTCGTACCGCGGCAGAACTCCACTATAATGGGTTCTAAGGGGCCTAAGGTAAGGGATATGTATATACACTAAGATACCCTTCAACGTGAGTCATAATCGACTTCGTCACGGGAAGGGGCGACCAGGTCTTTCCCTTCCCATCTACATTCAGCCCCTCCCGGTCTAGGCAACCGGGAGTGATTAGGCTGATATACTCCGATGCCGGTTCGCTGCGGCCCGGACCGATGATGGTTCTCAACCTGGAAGTCGGCAGATACCAAGCAACCAGTCGGTGTAAAAGCTTTCAATGGGGGTTCGGCGCAGGTTCATCAGATCTAGCGGGGCTCGCAGACGAGCCTTGTCTAGAAGGAACACTTTGTGAAGTTTTCGCCATTTCTGAAGCTTTACGAAGAGATGAAAAGAAAATACAACCAACGCAAAATTTGAGAAAGATAAGAAATGTTGAACCTGGAAGGGTCGTTTATACTTTTCCCATGAGGCGGCGGCACGAATCGCGAAGTTACAGACACGAAGCGACAGATAATTAAGAGAAGCATTAAATGCCTGCAGCAGACGTGGTCAGAGCACTCGATGGCTTTTTCAGCTGGCGTATGGCCATACGTCACGGGCATCACGTCACCGATCATATCGTTTATTATCATTACTCTCTAATAAACGAGGGGACTATCTGTATTGGGTGATACACTTTTTTGCTTGAGCCCGACCGGGTTGGGTCCGGTCCGGGGCAAGTCGGGGCCATCGAACCCGACCTGGATGCAAGGTAGAACGACGGCCACGTCAACAACCGAGGTCGAGTCATTTCGAGACCGTTGCAGAGCTCGATATGAGTCACCACCGGATGGAGAAACACACAAGGTCGGAAGCCGGACTCGTAACGGATAACCAAGCGTCGCCGGATATCTCGCCCAAACGTGATTTTCTCAACCACTTCAGGCCATTAAGGCGTAATTACAGGGATCCACGATGTAATTAATTTACCTACCTTATTTTTACCCTTAATCAGAATGTATAAAAGGGGAGAAGACCCCATAAAGAGGGGATCGGAAACCATTACACTACAGTACCATCTCTCTCAATTCTTGTACGCTATCAAGCACAATTGTTCTAAGCAATATTATATTCTGCGATTATTTACTTTAACAGTAATTGTTGAGTCTTTATCTTTTATTTTCCTCAATCCAAACCTTTTGTATCTTTTAGTTCACGGATCCTTAAAACCCCATATAAATTCAATTGTTATCCGGATTCCAGGGTAAACAACTAAAACCATCCCTTGGGATGAACCTGATCAAATACTTTTCTCTGCTTTTCAAGGAAAGCAAGAGGAAGATAATAGATTGATGAAAGACTTTTTTAGGGTATGAACATTTCTTCTTGGCACATGCTACACAAGGAAAAGATAGTGAATAACATAGAAATATTAATCGACGTCCAGATCAAGCACTATTAGCTTGAAACGGCGTAAAGAGTTCTAGTAATACTAGAAGCTAATGTTAGAAATAACCATACTTGACTTGGTAAATTAATACGTCTTTCGAATTTCTTTTTCTTTTTAAATTTTTGTGTAATTAAAGAAGCAGCAGGTAGTTAATCTCTATCTCGTGGGCTTTCTCATAAGCATTTGGCATGCCAACTTGAAGTAATGTCAAAATGATCTTGCTTAATCAGTAGAGAATCTTTATAATCTGTCGGTAAATCAAGAAATAAGGGAAATACCAGTAGCTAAGCCGGCCCAACCTCATACAGCACATTTAAGGCAAAAAAATATGATGTTGTATCTTAAGACGAGCCGAAGCAAATCTGTTTAGTACGTATTTAGTACAAAGCAAATCGTTATCACTAAATTCAAGATTAAGGGGTGAATAACATGTCTTGGTAGTCACATGTAGACAGTTAACAACTTATTATCAATGATTGAACATTGAATGCATGTAACAACCTGCACCAAAATAGTATCTGGATAGATTAAAATGACCTCATAATCACATGTAGTAGTACCTATAGGACAAGTGCTCTTCAGAAGACATGTAGAAAAGGACATATCCAAACTGGTAGGGCAGAAATGTCAGGATGAGAAACGACTTATTCATTTTGACAGCAGGAAATGAACCAATCTTGATTAAATTGTATATAGTGTGTGTGTGGGTGGGTGTGTGTGTGTGGTGGGGGTGGGGGGGGTGGGGGGAAGA